CTGCAGGTGGGACACAGGGCAGAATAGAAACACTAGTCCTCAGCTCACAAAAAGCGAAGAGAAAACAAAGCTAGGAGGAACTATGCAGAACTGTAATTGGGACTGATTAGACCAAATTCTTCAGCAATCTCACGTATAAGAACAGGGATGTCAAAGGAAACAGAGAGCAGGCTGGTGCAATCTACCTCTGGATGGATGGAATATAGAGGAATATATGAGGGCTGCTCCAAAATTAATGCCTTCTTTTTTATTATCTTGGCCCATGATGTCAGAGGCCAAGATGTTGGTGGTACGGCAATGTTCCTACCAATACCCTGTCACGTGTTGTTGCCGTGCAACAGATGGCAGCAGAGGGGCAGTCTGACAAAACAGTGTCTGACATGGAAGTGCATCTGAAGCAAAGGTGTCACTGAATTCCTTCATGCAGAAGAAATGGTACCTGTTGCCATTCATGGATGCTTACTGAACATTTGTGAAGACCGAACAGTGAATGCGGGCGTAGCAGAGTGGAGGCTGATGCATTTCAGCAGTAGGGTCATCTGTGTTGGTACAGACTTTTTACAAGCATGCAGGCTCTTATTCTTTGCTGGCAAGTATGCACACCTATTTTTCAACATAGTCAGCACCATCAGTGTTTTGTAGCCAAGATTTGCTCTATCAAATAAGGTTATTCTTATTTGCTCCTCTTATCTGCTGTAGTTTCAGTGGAAATAAATAAGAAGTGTCACTCTTTTTTTTTAATCACAGCTGCTCCAGAAGTTATGCTGTAGGGTGAAGCTGATTCCATCAAATTACTTGTTTATTGATTGTGTTCCATACTGATGATGCCTGAACGACTCACGTATTTAGTTGCTATTAAATTACATATGGCACATATGAACCATTCATGACCAAACAACCAATGCATTATGCTCCAAGAACAGATCAGCTCCATCAGGCTGACATCAAGCAGTACAAGGTAGAAATTATTATGTAACAGGACACAAATATAGTGACAGGAAGCTCTTAAGACAAATCCAATACCCATAATTTCACACTGATTTGTCACAAATAAGTCTGAAAAGTGAAAATACCACTCTTCTAAAGTGTAACAACTGGAGATCATCTTATATTTTTTAAAAGAAGACTAAAATAATAAATAGCATAACTTGGGCATGCTCTCTCTGCAAAGAATACAGTGCAATCTAGAGTCAGAATTATTTTCCATTTTTTGGATGGCCCCTAATATTAAAGAAAAAAAAGTTTTAATATTCAACTTGACTTATTTATACTTGCATGCAATAAGTGAACGAGAGTCAGAAGAGTCTTGATGACATCTTGATCACAGCTGCTACACAAGTTATGCTGTAGGGTGAAGCTAATTCCATCAAATTACTTGTTTATTGATTGTGTTCCATACCTATGATGCCTGAACTTGAAAGGTAACATGCTTCCAAAAATAAGAAACGAAGGCAGTCCAGATGACTTTCAGTCACATTAATGTGTTAACTAAATGGCTAAGGGAAGCAGAATACAGTAATTATTTATAATTTATTAAATGGATCTGCTATAATGTCTTCAGCATGTAGACTGCACATAAAGAAAATCAAAAATTAAAGTTGGGAAAACACCCTGATTCTGACACACTGGACATATTTATTTCTTAGTTACTTTATTATTATCAACTGTTATGTCAAAAAATGCCTCTCTATTCTCATATCTCAATGTAAGAGATCATGATAGCCATTAACAATGACCAACATCATTTTGTCAGTTAAGAATAGTTATGATACATAAAATATATCTCTAAAAAGCATATTTGAAACTGCCTAAGTTAACATATAAACCACTCCAATCCTTTGTTCAAAGACTTTCTAACATAATTCATGTTATATTGTGTATCCATTATCCTTCACAGGACCTGTAAACCAGAAAGGGCTTGAGAACTAACATATTTCTATTATCTCTTGAACAGCCTGTAAGTGAGGTGCAAAATGATGGATAAAATCCCACTGTTTAGATGTAATAGGGGTTTCTGTAACCAAGATCATTTGTCTTAACAGTTTCCAACATTTGGGAAGACATCTTGTCCATTTAATCCAATATTCTAGGCCAGCACATCTCTTACATCTGACAAGCAATGCTTCTCTTCAGATCTTTGTTAACTCATATTTTCCATATCTCTAGTGAGGCATTCTATATACATGTAACTTTTTATGGCATTACCAAATAATCTTGGACTGTGTTCTCAGCCTTTTTCCACCTGAAATATTACTTCTGAGTTTTCAGCAACCTGCAAGAAATCAGCTTGTCAAAGGGTCATTCCATTTCATTTTCATTCCAATCCTTCATTTTCATTCCAATCCTTACCCTCAAACGTTGTCACAAGCATAGCTCCTACCTACAGTGGGGACAGTGAGTGCTTCTTAAGGGTCCTTCAGAATGCAATGTTAAAATGTTTTTCACACCAATCTCTCACAAAAGTAGGCATCCAACTCAATTAACTCACATCAACCTGTTGGAGCTTTTTGGTCAAATACTGTAATGCCTAACATTAAAACAATCAAGACACTGCTTAAAGACAGATTTCTGTGCCAAAAGTCCCACTATTTTTATACACTTCTCCTTTTAAGAAACTAGAAGGAGAAAAGCTTTTGAACACACATTTAAACAGCAAGCAACATGGCTGAGAGGTACAAACAATTACTGATTATGTCCTGTCTTCTTCAGAAAAGAAAAGTGAGTTAATTTCTAAGTTTCCATGAACATCCTGATATGGTCAATTACTCTTCAGTGTGTGTTTTCATTGGCAAAGTGACTATGCATACTAATAACACAGGCTCCGACAAAAATTCCACCTTGCTCAGATACACTGATACAAGTGATTTATACATATTCATTTACCAAGTTGTTCTAAAGCTTTATATGCAGGATATTCAGATTAAGAAAGTTTATCAAATAAGCCCCTTAAAGAAAATGGCTCAAGTAGGGAAACTCCTCTGACTTTGCCACTAATAAATTGCAATGTATGTAGATTAACTCCCACAAAAACGTTTTAGTGCTTTTACTCATCTCCTGTGCTATCTATCCTTATTTGTTTATAATGAAAAAAAATTCTCCTGATCTTTTTCCATTGGCATTCATATTTAAACCTAAGCTGCTACACTATCCATTTTTGCCATAAATGTTTTACATTTGATCTCCTTTTCACCAATTTTTTATTTCTAAAAAAACCAAGCTATATTAATCAACTTCTGGTTTTCTTCCCAGGGCTCCAAAATAAAAAAGGCCAATGGATATTTGAATATAGTAGTAAACCATGCCACAAAATATTTTGAGCTGAAATGTCTTGAAACAGGCCACAGAGTTTAAAAATAAATCATTTCAAGACAGAGCCATCAACAGGTAATAGGATAATTGGAATAGGAAATGGATTCTTCCAAACAAGCCATCAACTTTATTACATCATGATGCTGACTAAGCTGAAGGCTCAAACTTCCAGAGTCAGGCCAGTGAAGAAGACAGCCTTTTTCTTGCAACATGATAAAACCAGGCCCCGTATCAGTTTGAAGACTGTGAAGTGCATTGCCAAACTTAGCTGGACTGTCCTACCACATCCACCACATAGTTCAGATTTGGCATCTTCTGACTTCCAGCTATGAAACAGCAGGTCACTTCCAATGATGAAGATTTTCAGGAGCACAGCACATAGGGTTCATCTCTGGTGAAAGTACACAGCTAATGGTTGTCACCATGTTAAAAAATAGTGTTTCGTAGCTGAGAATTTGCTCAGTGTTATTGTGTTCTTTGTACCTGATGTAGTTTCCATGGAAATAAACAGAATGCATTAAATTTTGAATGACCTACAACCTATCAGCAAAATAAAAGTACCCAAAAGTCATCATGTGCAGCGAGTGGATAAACAGATTTATTAAATCAAAGGCCAAACTGTAACAACTAAATTGCAGTGTGGGTATCAATTTATTCTTTCATTAATTATAGATACAGCAACTAGAAAAAAGGAAAAACCCTCAGTAAATTCTGAGATAACATGCATATGCAAATATGAAGAACACTGTGGTAACTCTCCACAAACCAAATTAAACATATACCTTTAGCAAGATGTAACAGGAGTTTCTCAGCAAGCACTGAACATAATTGCCTTTCTGCTCTTTTTTTTTTAAAAAAAAAAGATACTTGCCACAAAAACATGATAAACACATCACAACATTCTAAAAATCTGTTTGTTTCCCAAACAACAAACATGCAGGAATTAAAATAGTAAAGATATTATTATTCAGAAATTAACAACAAGTCCAGCCTGATTTGCAACTAATATTTTAAATTGGTCTTCAAATATTTGTAACTTTTTTAGTTTTATTTTATTTGTACTTGAACCACAGACTTCTCATGCACAAATCATTTAATTTTAGTAGATTTTTTGTGTTAGGTTTTCAAATAACTGATTTTTCAGAGTTCAAGTTATTTTTCCATATGTATGCAGGTTCTAATGCTCACATACCTACATCCTAAAAACCTAAAACTCATCTTACATTTCAGCTATCAAGCAGCCTGCAGCTTGAAGTAATGGAGAACACCCATGAACATACAGCCCTTCCATGAACATATAGCTAGATAAATCTGAAGAGAGAGGGGTAGTAAAGAGCACTGAAATTACCAGATGGGAAACTTGTCACACAAAACTGGTGCACTAAAACTGTTCAGAAAAAAGTTATCAATCTGTTCAAAACAACACAAGGAATCCAGCCAGAGTAGACTCCTTTCAAGCCTATCTGAACATAGCAGTGTGGTAATGTCACTACTGAACAACTTACCAAGTGTTGACACTGTTGCTGCCTCGTCATTCTTCCCATACATGTTTTTCAATTAAAATCAAACTTATTTTCTCTTTCAGTTTATCTTGACCACCATCAAAATAACATACTGTTATATAATCACTGACTTTCATAACAACGTAAGAGGAGTAAAGGAAATAACAGAAATTACTGAAGTCACAATACCTGTTATTGAACAGTATACTATGTGAGGAGCAATCTTTACAACGTCTTCATAACCTAGGCCAATTTCAGCCAGTTTCCCAGGGATGTAGTTTTCCACGAAAACATCAGATACAGCTGCAAGCTTTAGAAAAGAAAAAGATGTATAAGATTTGTTAACAAGCTTCCAAAAGTTCAATATATTTCTCATGTAGCTCGAAGTACCACTAATCAAGATGGTTCCTGTCTTTCTGACAGAACAGAATTCAAACCTAAGGAGATTTTTTTGGTCTGTTAGACTGTGCATGCCTGCAAACTACACATTAGAGATGCTGTGCATATAGAAAAGAAACTATAAAAGTTCTAAGTCTATTAGACAAAACTGTAATGTAGTTGTATTAACAGAGTCATACTGATTTCCAAGTATTTGATCAAAATTTACATAACAGTCACCTACTTTATACTATACTAAGCTTGAAGAAAGTGGGGAGAAAGGACAAATCCTTCATGTTTCCCTTAGAATTTTGTAAAATGCTGCGGGTGAGGGGAGGGGGACAGAAAGGATGGTGGTGGTGGTTCTTGGTTTTTTGTTGTTGTTTTCTGGTTGATTCTCTTCAGTTCCAAAACAACTGATAATACTTACTGTAACAGAAGCTACACACATCTTAAGGTCACCTCAATTAGAACAGCATTATAAAGCTCTGCAGCAGGATTTTCTGCATCACATCTGAATAAATGATCTAGCCCAAAACCTACTGAGATTATAGATGAACCTATGACTCTGATGGGCTTTAAATTACATCTTTTTGTTCTTAGAGGAGTTAAGCACGTAAATATTTGTACATATTTCAGTAGAATTAATATTAATTAAGAACTTCTGAAACAAGGGAACTACATTTGAAAATAAATATGTACTATTTGGCAGAGTCGTGGAGGTTGAGGTTCTTTTTCAGTTCAGTTGCTTTTTCCAGGAATCTAACTACTCCCTGACAAGAATACATTTGTACATACATCTATAAGCATGACCTGAAACTCTTCATTTCTTAATGTTATTTCAAGATGATCAGAGTCAAATTCTCTGGAACTACCATGCAGTTATCTGATCAATATCCACAGCACACTGGGCCAGCTTCCATAAATTAGTGTCATCATATCTGCAATCATAAGCATTTTTGTTCTAGCATGTAGTCTGTTGAGTTGAATTTAAGGCCAAAGAAACAGCCAAGACAGCAAATATTTCACAGGAAAGACAGCAACTGACTCCTATTTAGACAAGAAGCCATGTAAATTATGAATGGCTTAACTAGATGCATGGATGAGATGCTAGTAACGTTTACAGAAATGAACTTCAGCATACAGTAAAAGTGCATTTTTAAATGCACATGGTAAATTATTTTTTAAGAGTCTGTGTCAAGGAACTCTAGGAGTGCCAGTTTTTAACAATTGAAAATCTCCAAATTCTAAGTAAGTATTGCTGGTGTTTTTTTGTGTTGTTGTTTTAATTCATGACTCTGTGAAAATGACAAGCCCTTCATAGCAGTTACTTAAGAAGCCAGCATTTGTCACAGGAAGGTTCTCAAGAAGACCAAGGTTTTACAGAGGTGAAGCTTTAGCTAGTAAAAACAGAAGAAGCTCAGAGTGATCTATGACTGTCCCAATCTTCTGTGCCAGACAGCACACCCAAAGCAAAGAAAGGACAATGCACTGGGAGCAGGCTGTTGATCTTTCATATCTAATGTCTAATATCTAAAATGTCTTTATGTAAAATAGATCTAAGGGGCTTCATTTGCTCTCTAAATCCTTTATACATAATTACTTTTACATTTGGTAATACTACAACTTTAGCTAAATTCATCTAAGAAATCAATTATAACTTTTGTACTGCTTTCACTGGGTTTTGTAACCTATCCAATACAGAGCAACAGCATGGGCTAATTTGAGAGCTGCTGTCCATCTCATACTGAAGAATCAACACCTGCAAACCACTGTGGGGAAAAGAGGATGACTTGCATTACTGTAACAATAAGTAAATAAATAAGTGCCATAACTCTGGATGTGGCAACACACGTGGATGACTACAGTGCTAAGTGAAGATACAGTGATTTAGGCCAAGGTTAGTAGTGTATATATTCTCAGAGAATGAGATGAGCATAACATTCCAGGCATCTTACAAATATTGTGTCAGCATGGCCTCTAGTGCTCTCATGACACCTGGAAACAGGCTTTAAATATAAGCCAGCAGTGAACAGTAGATCTCTTTTGGTGTTCACTGCACTAAGCACGGGTACCCAGGGTTCTGTCCTTGGCATGAACTGTATTCAGACTCTATCCAAACCAACTGCACAGAATCACAGAATGTCCTTAAGGCACACAGGGACTTTCAGTCTTAAAATTCAACAGGGTTTTAAATCCTCTGTCAAGTAAAACTTCACACAGAACTACATGACCTGCAAGCCCTTTGAGCATATCACTTGTACATTCACCTACACTAGCAAAGTAGTGTAGAACAGACTACTACATGTTCCAGATAGGACACTTATGTGCACAACTTGTACATGTCAGGACATCAGAAAAAAAGGCATAATGAACACCAAAGTAATCATTAATTTGAATATAAGCAACACGTAATGAAGATACTAACTTGACAAAACAAACTATTCATCCCTTCAGAAGGATTTTTTTTTAAACAAGTGTTCCATGAAGAGGAATGTGTGCATATATACAACAGTTAAGTGAGAGTATGCATGAGACATGATGACCCTCTCAACTACCTTGAACAGGAGGGAAGGAAGAGCGCCATCAGCTCCCCATCCAATGGAATTTTCCCAAGTCCTTCATGAATAAACACAGAATTTAATTAGTTAAAACTAAATACTCAGGACAAATGTATCCCTAAGTTTCTTAAAACAAGTTGCTGAATATTGCTGAGTAATACTCAAAAACACAAGCCATATATGTCAGAGCACAGTATCAGTGCACATCCCATCACTGAAGGGAAAATAAGTTTCACTCAGTGAGACACTCAAATTTTTAAAAAGCAGTTAACAGTGAGTTAAAAGCAAAGGAAGGAAAACAAGGCTACAAGCGATGCAGAATACAGAAAGAGAATACAGACTAAAGAATAATTGTATGGTAACCACACTGTAAAATATTCACATAATTATGAAAGAGTAGACCTTTGGACAAGTGTCTTGTCAGCACTGTGCCAAATCCAGGATTGCTGATTAACAGGTTTTCCTGCATACTTGATACTACTAATCCAATTATTCTAATCATGCTACTTTTCTTATTAAAAAAAAAGTGATTAAACTTCTTCACTTTTCTCTGTAGGACGTATGCCCAGGATACAGTTCATATTTATTTGTATCTGATGTCCCAAGCTCAAAGTTCCTCTTGCAAACACAAACAATACTTGTCGTTATAGCAAACACATCACTGTGCAAAATTCAGAATTCTGCATACCTACATCTTGATATTACCAAAAGACAACTGACAACAAAGTCTTTTATTACAGATAATATTCTTACATTTCAAAGACTGAAAGTAAAACATTATATTATAGTTCCATTTGAGATGCAATAATAAAACGTAAAGACCTCTGCACCAAGCACTTCCAAAAGCTACCATTAAGCCAAATAAAACAATGGCAGGATAGTTGCTACGTTGATAGAAAAATTGTGTGGGGCTTGAATTCAAGCAGTCCAGCCTCAAGTACAAAGGTTGTAATGTTGCACATTCTTCAGTACTCAGCCATTTAATGGCACAGATCATAAAAAGGTTAGCTGTACATTTAAAAGCTAAATCAAGCAGCCACATTCCTGTACCAGTATTAGATAAGAGAAAGGGAACTACTTAACCTCAAATAGTAGCAGTCACACATAAAAGGCAAACACTACAGCCATCTTTCCTCCAGCTCATCCTCACTCCTAATCCCAGTTATCCCAAGCCCACATTCACAGAATCAATGGACTTTTTGCTTCAAGTAGTTTTACTTTCCTTCACTATTTCTTTCCTGAAAGGTCAAATAAGGTGACAAGACTTTTTCCTGGTTATCTGGAATGAATTTTTTTTTTTTTTTTTTTTTCAGAATTCTTTTTTAGAATTTGACTATCCAAAAAATACATCTGTATTTTCCCAAATGGCTGTATCTGTTTCCAAAACCTTTAGAAGATAAACATACAGCTTCATAACAGAAATGAATGGTTATGTTCTGCAAAGAGCACAAGGAGAGGGTACTGGACAACCTGTAAACTTCACTTATAAACTCCAAAGATTGTATAGACAGTAAAAAAAATGTTTCAGAAGTATAAGACAACTTAATCTCTTTCCATTTTATATAACATTCCTGGCAATAAATCCTACCAGACAATTCCACTTATTGCAGGACACATACAGACTTACTGTGAAAAGAGTGACTAGAACTGACAATGAAGCAAACAGGAAGAAGCCAGCTCACAGTTTTAGATATGTTGCTACTCTTATGGTCTTTAGCCCTGCAGAACTAGTCAGCAGGTCTTACACTTCTCAAAAAATAAAAAGGGATGAGAAAACACAAGTCTTAAGGAGTGTGAAATACGGTGCTTTTATTAGCTTAAAGATTACTAGAATAATCAAACTTTGTCACTGGAAAAATCATTACCTGAATTCATCCTTGCGTTCTCAACTGAAATACTGAAAAAACCCTCATCTTAAACAAATGTGGCATTTGACCTACAGGACAACACTTCTGGTACTGCAACCAAAGCCATGAATATACTGTAACACTCAAAAATACACAAACACTGGAGCCCAGTTCTCCCACTGTAAACTCCTTGCTGACTTCAATGGAAGACGTTTCTAACTGGATTGATGAAGTTGTACAGAAAGATCTAATACAGCCACAGCTAAGCATTGAACTGTTAGACCTTTACCTCACAATATTTCATCTGAAGTTTTTGATGTTTGAGTAAATTTTATTGTATCTAAAATCATTACAAATTACTCTGAACAATGAACTTATCTCAATGTAAGATTGTAGAGATAATATAGGCCACGTCTCACCCATCATTTAAACAATGAATGCCATACATACCTATTTTTAATTATCACACTTCCAATACTTGAAATATAGAGTTTATTTTTTCTTACACAGGACCATAACAATATAAAATGGACATGATTTGCATTCCATTAAAACCTACCTCCCTGATCAACTTTGCTCCTCTTGAATTCTTCATATTGATAGCTATACTCTGGGGACAAAAAGAAAAATCACTTCAGACTGTTCTAGTGATTATCGAACTCTAAGCATAATCAGTAGTCAGTTTTTCATATTTAAAAATATTTTTTTGTTGGTAAAGCAAGCTTAACAGTCTCAAAGACCAGACAAGCAACAGAGCAAGTCTGATGGATGTGCAGCTGGGAGCTGCACTGTGGCTTACTACTGCAAGTACGTATAGGAACACAAGAAACATTTGTTTCAGTGGCAACAAGCCACTAACCAGCTCAGTGTATAACTTCATCTTAATCCTAAAGATTCACAAGCTCTCTCTGCTAACTCATCTACAGTATGATGCCTGCTTTCCCACAACTCTATCTGCCAAGAAGGGCAGGTGAGCTCAGCTGACCCACACAAAATGAAGTGATCCTTAAAATGCTAACAGTAACCATCACTCTTCAATTCAACAGGGTTAATTTTGTACCAGAAACTGAAGACTGGCAGGACCACTCTTGCATTTGGAATTTGCTTCAGCTGATCTCAGAACCATACCAGAGATTTACAGCCTTTTTTGTTCAAAATACTTCATTTATTTCATGAAATGTATATTCACCTTGACAATACAATTAAAGCCAACGTAACTATTGCTCCATTAGGTACGCTGAGAATTAAATGAGTTTAAACTAAGTTCTCATAAAGTGTGTTTATGGAAAAAAATTAAAGATTGGAAGTTTTCTCTGACTGCTAATCATACTCACTTAAGGTTTTGTTGTTTGTTTTCACTTAGTTTTTTTGTCAACAATCACATACTGTACAAAGCTCTTTCTACAAAAAGCAAAAATAAATAATTTGAAAGAGAAGTGCAATGTCTTCAACTGCTTTTACAACTGACAGACTAATCTCCAGTGAAGCACTTCACTTACCTTTTTATTTCTGTTGACACTGAGAAAATAAACACTTTCTGTTCCAACAAAAGGTGGGCCCCAGGCTCTTGTATCATCACCAGTTCCTGAGAGAAATACAACCATGTTTTTGCAGTTATTCAACATTACACTGACAACAAACAAACAAAAGTTTTAATTATCCTAGGTAATATTTAAGCCTCCTAAACTTCAACTAGCAGGCAGGGGACAAACAACCACTTTAGTATAAATGTTTCAGGGCATTTACTTCAGAAAACACCTAAGAGTGAATGTGACTAAGCAAAACAAGTTTTGCTTTTGTTACTGCTATAATCATTATATATATACACATATAATCTTAATATAGCCTGCTTTGTTCCTTCTGTGACTATTTGCATCTTAAAATATACACAACAACACACAGTCACACCTCAGGGTACTTAATTCCTTTTTAACTTAAAGCTCTGCTTTGAGGTACAGCAGCATTCATTTAGACAATCTCAAAGAATTTAGCAGATGCTCTCAGTCAGCACACAGTCAGAAAACCATTTCTGAAACACTATGGAAACAAGGTCATGAGATCACTAATCAGCACAGCTCATTAAGCTGTGATGCAGAATATCACCAGAAAGAAGCACTTGCTACTGTCTTCTGTTCAGAAATTCTCTTGCCTTACAGAAAAGATGGCATTAAAGCTGGTGCAGACACCAATGTAATTGAATCTCTTATGCCTGATTTCTGATTTTAAACCTTTCTTAAGGTGTCAAGAAGACTAGCAATCCATTTAAAATGAAAGTGATAAATTTGAAGTTGAATTTAATTAAGACATAATTATGACCCTGAGTGTCAGCAAGTATACACAATATTTCTCTATCATTACCTAAAGTTTATGTACTTGCTAACTTCAAGGGAGCAGAAAGTTTCTTTAGAGAGGCAGCACAGAAGGCTAACATTAACAGAGATGCAGAACTAAGCTAAAGGACTTTTAGCCCAATACAGTATAGTACCACCACTCTCACAGCATTATGCTTCTCACTAGAACACCTAAAGGCTACAGCAGTTTATGATCAACTGCAGCAGAAGCTATAAAAACATAAATTACATTCAGCAATATTTATTTACATTGTTTAGTATCTCAAAGAACTCTCTTGGTTCAAGCAAGAAGCTTGGGGAAGAACATTAATATTTCTTCTACATGCTCTCATTTCAAGTCATTTAAGCAAAATATTTCAGAAATGCTTCCCACGTGGGATGCTAGTGTGATTGGTGTCACAGAATCACAGAAACACCAAGTTGGAAAAGACCTACAAGATCATCCAGTCCAACCATCCACCTATCACCAATAGTTCTCACTAAACCATGGCCCTCAACACAAAATCCAAGTGTTCTTGAACTTTCCTGTGAGAACAGACATCATCTCCCTGAAGAAGAGATTAACAACATTCCACAAACGTTTGAAGTTTGGAGTTCTCAGGCTTTCTTCCCCCTGCAATCACAAAACAAAGCTCTCCAAGAGCTAGAATGTAAACCTCTAAAATCATCAGTTCATATTTAATCACCAACATTCCTATATTGCTCCATCCCACTGCCTAGACACTTGAAATCATTCCTCTGCCCATCTCAACTGACGGTAGAAAATTGATGCAACTTCTTACCTGTCACAGATGTGAAAACATTAAAAACAGTGAATGAGTAATGATGATCCAGTGGTTGCTGTGACAAGGCTTTTGATGGATACCAATTAGATGTTAAAAACTTAGTATTTGCCATTGAAAATAAAATACAGGAGACAATGTCTCAGTATCTCAAATGTGTGATTAATTCGTTTTGAAAAGAACTAGTGAAAACTATACCAAAAACAAAGAAATTTAAACATGCAAACTTAAATATGGAAGAAAAAACATAAGAAGATGCACAGTTAGTCTGGCACAGTTACATGTCCCAAGTGCAAAATGACAAAGTGAAAGCCAAACGCAGAGAGAAATCCTAAAAGAACTGAATGCCATGCAACTCTTGCATGCTTCTAAGAACTAAAGAACATAGCTATTCCAATAGAATGACGAGGTTTTGTTCTTGTTGGGTTTTGTTGTTCTTGGTTGGTGGTTGTTTTTGTTGTGGTTGTTTTTTTTCTTTTTTTTTTTAAGCACTGCTGAACCCTCAACAGATCTCAGAAGCAGCTTTTTCTATGAAGCGTACATACTGAGTGGACAAAAAACTACTGTGTTAAGCTAAAACACACAAAAATAATTTCTAAACTAAATTCTATTTATGAAGCTAACTACCAGCATCCAATCAAACTCTGAAGGAGCAGCAGAAATCTGTTTCTGCATCTGAAAACAAAACTCTGGAAGCTTGTTAATATCAGAGATGTTCAGAACTAGAAGGAATAATTTTTATACATACTCAGAAGTCTCTTCTTTCCAGTAAATTCCTATTTCCATCTATAAAGGATTATCACATCCTGGACTTAAGAACTATTTCACGAAGAAAATAACTTGTTCCATTTTGCAAGCTTCCAGAGAAAATTAAAAGTTACCTTGTCAGGGAAATCTAACAACCTGGGACTGTCCAGGAACACTAACATCACAGAGGAAAATGTTGATATAGAATATAAGGTGAATTGGCATATTATCAGTCAAAACATTTGCCATTCCCCACCACATCTGTGTAAAATGACATAAAAGCAGTACAAACAACATATTTCAATGCTCATACTATCTTTCTTCCTTGTAATAATAAAATGAAAATTAAAAGCAGAGCTTCTGTTTCCAAAATTGAAGTGCCTGCCTTTAAACCAGTACTCTAATCTTGGGTAGTAAGATTAGTATTTATTAGTATATAAGGGTAGTAAGAAGTATTTCTGTTTAATATTACCTGAGAAGCTTGGGCTCAGAGAGAACTGAGTCACACAACCTTAGCTCTCCAGTGGAAAAAGAAAAACATCTTATCTCTCTGTCCCCACTATAAGGGGAATCCATGTCTTAAGGTGCATATTGCTTGTGTTTGATTCTATCAGAATACATAATTTTAAAAAATACTTTCTCTTATTAATCATGTTTTAAATCACAAGGTTTAAAAAGACACAAACTTTCAGCCTCAGTGCTTGAAAGAAAATCATAAAGAGAACATCATAGCATAGCAAACTGCCCCCAGGGTAACTCTGCTGGTAATTTTGCTTCCAGTCCTTTTATTGAAATCACATTTACTTCAAAACATACCTCCAGCATCTCTCTATATGACAAAGGCACATATTTCCCTCTACACAGAATTTCAGGCACTTTTTTCTACCATACACTTAAATATTTAAATGTACATTATTTAAATGAGGCAGGCTGTAAAGCGCATGGCTCCTTCCATTATGGTTTGTCTCCTACTACATCTGCCCATCAGATACACAGCAGTCAGTGATGTTAGGATGCACCATTTACAAGAACCACAGAATCACAAAAGTTGGAAGAGACCTCTGGAGATCATCAGTCCAACACCCATGCTAAAGCAGGGTCCCTGCAGCAGGTTGCACAGGAAAGCATCCAGGTGGGTTTCCTTCTCATACCAAGAAAGGAAAAGTCAAAAATACGATGTTCATCTTCTCAGAGGTTTGTACAATCACCACCTCATATACATTAACATTAGCTCTATGTGGAAATCCAATTATTTCCTACAAGAAAAGCTTTGAGTGAAGTTCCAATAAGCAAAATCTGTCTAACTAATATGACAAAGGCATGGTATGCACTAAAAAGACCTGTAAAAGCAGAGTATTTTCTTTCTCAAAAACTGCACTATTACCCCTACCACATTTCCATTACTCTGCTAAAGCAGCAAGAGATAAGGGCACAAAAATCAAGCAAAGGTCTTTATGTTGATAATACCAAGTCCTAAGCTAAAGTGACTATCATGATGGATGGGGGAGAAGGGGAGAAAAAAAAAAAGCACCATATAAGGCATGGTGCCCAATCTTTTGGTTTGCCTGAGCCACGCTGACTGAAAAGGAACTGCCTTGGTCCATATACATATATGTAGGTTGCTCCAGAAGTAATGCCTCCTATTTATTTCTATGGAAGCCACAACCTAACCAATAAGCACGGTGATTGATACAGCAAATTCCCAGCTACTAAACACTATGGTGGTGACTATGTTGAAAAATAAGCTTTGTATTTTTTTTGCCAGTGTCTTGTGTGCTAAACTCATCAACATCTACATCAGTGAAGGTGACCCATCATCACTGTTGCCACTGCTGAAACGCACTGACCACCTCCTCACATCCATTGTTTGGTCCCTAGTGGTTCAGCAAGTGTTGATGAATGTCAGTGAGTGCCATTCTGTGTGGAGGAACTCAGCGACACCTTTTGCTTCATATGCACTCCATGTCAGACACCATTTGGTCAGACTGCTCTGCTGCCATCCGTTACATGGCAACAAAATGTAACAAAATATTGCCAGGAAGCTTCAGCCATACTGCCCTACCACCAATGTCCACCTTTGACATCGTGGGCCAACATAAAAAAAATAGTAGGTGTTACTTTTGGAGCAGCCTCCAAAAATCTGTAACATTGTTAATGCATATCAGCAACAAAATATTTTAATTTTTAACAATTTTTGTGAAAATATAAAAAAGTAGAGCAACAAAACCATAAATCCAGTGGGATATTCAACCTTGCTTTTGTGACTCTAATATATCACCCTGGTTTGAAGGCAGTGGCTGCTGTTCTCAGTGAGCCCTCAGAGAGCTCATCAGAGATTTTTGATGAAATTTACTCTTCCTGTACTTCATCCTTGAAAACAGTTGCTCAGAAACGTACCTACTGCCAAAAGACAATGAAATGAGTAAGGTAACTCTGAAGTGAAGGTATTTCTCTTTGGTGAGACAGGGCTAAAGACAGCCAAACGGACTTTTGAATTGAATGTCTGATTGCAACTCTACACATTCCACTCAAAAATGTGCAAATAACGTATTTATGTTAGCTGAAAATGGAGTTGCAAATATAACAATAAATTGATAATTTTCTGGCAGCCTTAAACCCTATTCTCAAATTCCTTTATCAGGATGGAAAGCACAGCTTTCCAATAACATATTTCTCACTATTCACAGGATTTCCGTTCAGCCAACACATCAAAATTTGTGAAATTGTTTGTCATAACTTGAGCTATCACAGCCCTGTCTGGGGTGAAATGAGGACAGTGCAAATAGTGCACAGATGTTTGGTCATTGCTGAGTTACAGTTGCACACATGGGCAGGGCTGGCTGAGAGACAGCAGGAAGAACCACCACCATGATGGTGCAAGGCACAGGCTGGGCTGCACTGTGAGCCAGGCCACAGGTTGGACAAGCCTGACATCAAGGATGAAATGTCACTGAGTATCAGCAGTTTTACTGTTTCTGGTAGCATCTTAATAGCTACTAAATAATTGTGGATGTGAAATAATCCCAACCAGCATGGCATAAGGTTATGCTGACTTAGCCTCCCACCCCCATGATATAAACTATATGTACTATATAAACTGCTGTATCATTCCTTTTTATCTTGTTAGGAAGGACAAAGCAGAAATCTTAATTGAAACCTCCTAATATAATGAAATCACCAACACAAAACAAAAAAACATGGTACCTTAAAGAAAAAACCCTGGAAACTTACAATTCTGTAGACTGTCAAATTTTGGAGGCCATACTACTGTTACAGCTGTTTTTATCCTCTCACAATACAAAAAATCTCCAAAAACCTAAGCATTGCCATGACACTTTAAAACCTAAGAAAAGTCCAAACCACTCAAAAGAAATCAATTTAATTTTAGTGATGGAATAAGGCACGTTAGTAGTGATGACCCAGTACTGTTTTGTACATCAGTATCTGGAAAAACAAGTGACCTACCCTTACAGCTTCAATCTTATCTTTCCTAAATGCGTATTTGTTCCTGAACAAAACACACATACTGGAGTACAGTGTTAAACTTCAAGCAAACAAACCATAGACATGCAAGCAAACTTATTAATAACTACCATGCCAGAAATAGAGCAACTATGTCAACAGATTCCAGAAATTTGATAGCTGTAGCTTCACAAAAACACAAGCTGCTACAAAATTTAATATCTCATAGCCCAATACCATACGCACATCACCACCAAAAACATACATTCACCAAATAAACTTACTATTGGTCACTTCTGAAAATATTTAGTCAATTGTATGTTCCCAATCCGTAGTAAACATCCCACAACATTATCAGAAAGTAAGTTGTTGTTAACAATGTGAGGAAAACCATTAAAAAAAAGACAATTCCAAATACAGAAACAATACAATCATTTGCTAAATTAGCCCACGTTCTTACCACATAGAAAACAAAGGAGAACCTTACCTGGTCTTTCCACTTTGATAACTTCAGCCCCGAGATCTCCTAAATTCATTGTGGCAAAGGGCCCTGCAAGCACTCTGTAAAATTTAGAAAGATTTTCTTAGTTTTTTTCCCTACAGTATTTGCATCTAGACAGTGTTCCAAATCATAAAGAAAACACAAACCTTGTTAAATCAAGAATTTTCACACCATCCAGTGGCTTTACATTACTGGCACCTGACAAGAAAAAGAAAACAATAAGTTACTCTTGAGTTGTTTTTTTTGCAAGATGTTTCTGATTCATTTTAATCTCATCATCCTCCCTCCCCAAACATAGGATAATAAACCTTTCTGCAGAGATATGTTATTAGGATTGTATTATATCAATAATGCCCTTCAAAATCCAAAAATCTTACGGTTAACATTGCAGAACCTATTCCAAACACCTCAGAATTCTACAGTGAAAATACTTACAGGTATTTTATACAGGCCTACCACTAACACACATATAGATTTCAAAGACTAACCTGATGAAAGATCCAGCAAAAGCACAACAAACATCACAACAACAAACTAAAATTAACGGATAACAGATCAACTTGAAGTACAGAATCAACAGCAGCAAAGTGGTCTGACCTGTGTAGCAGACCCATGCACTTGCACCACATAAAAAAAGACTCTGCATTTCAAAAACAGGTTATAGAACTCAAGGTAGAGTGCGTGAACTAAGGCAACACTTGTTCTGCCTTTCAATTTTTGATAACATGCAAGATAACTGCTAGCAAATCAGCACCCCTTCCTCCTTCTCCTCCCCACACCTTCCAACCTGACCAGCCCTGAGAAACAGCCATCATTCTAGAGGGATTTGAGCTTCACGGTGTTTGTTTTTTTTGATGCAATATGCAGGCCAGGCAGGATATGGATGAAAATGGGTGGGTCTAGGAATAGCCATGTATATCACACATTTCAAACCCTATAGGGAGATTCATCCTGCCACCTCTCTTCAACACTGCACAACTCAGTGAGAGCTCCAGGTGCTGGAAAACACCTGTGCCAGTGCCAGGTAAGCATCACAAATCCTCGGTGCAACTCCACATTGATCCAGTTGGCCATACTTATGCAAACACAGCAACATGTGCTTACTACCTATTAAGGAACAGTGTGCATTTGCTTCACTGTGACCTTACTGTCAGTTTAGGAGAAATAGTTAACAAAGAGGGACCAGATTCCTCTATTGTTTCCATTCTCTCTACTATTTTTCCTTTTGAATTATTCCAGTAGCCATGACTGAAATCAAACCCATTCTCCCAACTCTACCTTCATTCTGCTTGTATACAAGCTATTCCCACATCTGAATTGACCCCAAGCAGGACAGCCACGCTCCTTTTTAAGATCTCTTTGTTGGAGAATTAAACAGATTCATTCACCCTCAGCTTAGACTCTTTAGTTCAACCCACCAGGCTGTCCCCAGAATAAAAGCAGGGGTAGCCACAGGCAAGCCTATTGTAAGGGTATGAGTAAGCAGCCAGAAAGATCACTCTGTGGCAGTGCAGATCAAGTAATCTTCACACCAGATTACCAAATTTTCCTTTATAAGAGGGGGAACTGAGAAAAGATTAGCTCAGCACACTGAGTACTTCTATAAGAATGCAAATCCGGCTGAAATTAATTGTAACCCAATTGGTCCAGAGGAGCATCACTCCTCAGATGCCAGGTCCCAGCTTTAGCTGCATAGCCACTTTTCCAACCAAAACCACCCAACCGCAGCTCGCTGTCACACCAGGCTGCACTTGCTGTGGGATCACAGCTCCACGCTCCCTCCGACTGCCATGCAATCGATGCAGTAATCACTGCCATGTCATCAGAGAAGCGTGAAAGCCAAGGGAAACTGACTCTGATGCAGCTTTTTTCTTTCACAAACGATGTTTGATGCTACGATTTTGAAGTCTCAGAGGAAGAAAAAATAATAATGATGATTAAAAATAAAAAAAGAAAAAGGCGATTAGATGTGCCCAGTAGCTCTCTCCGAACCGCGGCGCCCGCTACCAGCACGGCAGGGCCGCCGAGCAGAGCCCAGCTCCGGCCGCGCTCCGCGAAGCGCTCGCACCCGCCGCCAGCGGAGGACGCGATGCGGGGGACAGACTGGGCTGTGCTGAGCGCGGCGCCGCTACCTGCCGGAGGAGCACCGCCACCCCGCGCCGCTCCGCGGGCTGAGGACGAGGCGGCGCTCAGAGCGCGGAGGCTGCCGCCGGCAGCACGACGCAAACTCCTCCACAGCCCGCGGCCGCAGCTCTTCCACGCCGGCTCGGCGCCCAGCATCCTCGCGAGCGGCACGGCTCGAAGCGGCACACGAACGTCAGACACTCAGCGCCACAGCCGGCGTCGCGAGGAGCGCGTTCCGCCGCACTGCGCGTGCGCGCGTCCCAACAGCCTCCCGCCCTCGGGGAGGGAGGCGTTAAATTGATCCCGGCTTGGGGGCGGTGCGCATGCGCGAGAGGTGCTGTCGTGCTTTTGAGGGGCGTGAGGCCGTCGCAATGGTTGTGAATGATTGGGTCTCGTGGGGCGGTGTGCGGCGCCTTCGGAGAACGAGCAGCTCTGCTTTCTTGGTTGTCTTCTTGAAGGGCTGCGTGAGCTTAGTGCTCTGTGGCTCTGTTGAATGCTTTGTTCTTCACAGGGTGCCACAGCTGAACTGACCCCACGTTCCTCACTTTGGCATCAGGCAGGCTTCCTGCTGGGGGTCCCAGACCTGATAAAAGGGGTCAGAAAGTGGCAACGAGCTTCAGTTTTATCTTCCATGCTACGCAAGACGCAAGCGGTTGGCCTGTATAAACGGGGTAATATACTGCAGTGGTAATTCCAGTTGTGGCTTAATTAGAACACAAAGCCTAGGGTTCGTACAGAATGACTCTTTTTTGACACCTGGCTCCTAGGCACTTGTTTCTGGTTTAGTGTACAAATGAGTGCATATGATGCTGCCGAGATTAAATAAAATAACCCCACAAGAATGCACCACGCTTACAAGTCAGGCAGTTTTAGTGTATGCCAATTCTCTGGCTAGAAAGAGGAAGGTCCTTGAGCTCCCTGTGCAATGTCAGTTGTATCATAAGCTGAGCCTTCAGCTGTCTATGGCTGGGTTAACTGGAAGGATTCACTTTGCTGAACCTGTAAGTGATTCTGCCCCGAGCTGACTACTTTCAGACTGTTTTTAGCTTGGGACCAAGAGGAAGGTTCTTTACATGAAAACCACGGTGCTCTGTAGCAGCATTAAAAAAGAAAAAAAAAAAAAAAAGCATTTATTTATGGAAAAAGAACTGTGAGGATAGCAGCTGTACCTCAGTGGCAGATAACACTTCTGACTGCTTGAAAGAGAGCACTGCAAGTACCACAGCCTAAGAAGTGTTTCTTCACAAAGATCCTGCGTGCTGAAGAACAACACAGGGAAAAACCAGCTGTGCAACAGGTTTGCTACGTGTAATGAAATGTAGGACGTGGCTGCTTGCAATCCTAGAAGCAGTTCGGATTTGTCAACAAGAAGAAATTCATTAGTAAAGCTATTCAATGATAAAGCTATTATTAGTAAAGCTATCCTGGTGCGACTCAGTATCTGTGTAACAGTGCCTATTTCCAATTAGTTTGGTGTGAAAATAACTAATTAAAACACACCGGCCAGAGCGAGAAATTGATATTACATTGATAATGTAATCGTGTAGATATGGCATTCCTTGTGTGTACCACAAAAGGTAAAAAATTGGTCTTTAAGAGAAGATAAAAGCAGAGGATTAGCCAAGATCGGTGAGTACGATCTCTGCATTTCCATGTTGGATTTGCGAGGATTTCCATTCGGATTCTCGCAGTTCCACAGCTCTCGCTGTCTGAGCTACCTTAGCGCTACCGGCAGCTCCGAGTGACGTTTACAACATTCTTTCCGATCTCCTAACGCGTCCTTACGTGCGTTCATCGCTTCGCCTTCCCGGCCCGGAACCTTGTAAGCCCGGAACGCTGGCGCCGAGCTGCGGGGCGGGGGAACTGCGAGGGATCGGCAGGCGCCGCCGAGGCCGCGCTCGTGTCCGTGCGGCGTTACGCAGGTTTTATTTCTGTCTCTCTCCGCCACTGCCGGGCCATGTACCGGCAGAGCTTCCGACCTCCGACGCCTCCGTATGCGGGCGGCGGGTTCCGGAGCCCTCCGTCCGGCGGCGGCTGCCCCGTGCCCCCCTCGCCCCGGGGCTACGGCAGCCCGCATCACACGCCGCCCTACGGCCCCCGGCCCGGGCCTTACGGCGGCGGGCTGTCGCCCCGAGGCCCCGGCTTCGGCGGCGGCGGCGGGCGGTTCGGGAGCCCTTCGCCGGGCGGGCAGACCCCGCGCAGGCCGCAGAGCGCCAGCCCCCGCTACCCGGCTCCCCGCGGCGGCGGCAGGTCCCCGGCCGGAGCTGCCCCGCACCCGCAGCAGCACAAGCGCTCGCCCGGGGGCTACCAGAGGCACTACCAGGTATGGGGCGGGGCGCCGAGGGAGGGAGCGAGCGGCGGGCAGAGCGCGGGGCTGCGGCTGGGGCTGGGCAGCGGCTCCGTCCTTCTCCGGGGAAAGGGGCTCGCAACGCGCTCAGCTGCCCTCCAACGTTAGGGAGGACGGAGGGACCCCGGTGAGGGAAAGGGGAGGGGCTGCTGGGCTGCCCGAGGCCTGGCACCGGGACACGAGGGCTTCCTTCCTCCTAACATTCCGGCACGGGAGGGCGGAGAGAGAATTGTATACCAACCAAAACCGCAGTAAGCGTCTCTGTCCCTCCTATTTACTTCCCTTTGAGCTGCTCTCCTTCAAACAGCCGGGAAGCGCTGTGTTTTTCTTGCCAGTGGTGAGTGATGTTGCAGGAGCTGCCCTGTGCACATACAGCAGCTCTCTGGGACAGTCTTAGAAGTGAGGATGATCTGCTAAAGAGAAATAAGCTGACGTTCCCCTAAACAGAAAGGAGGGCATCTGTTGGGGTCACAGCGTGCCTTTTCAAGCCCTTGCCTTGCATTGAAAGCTTCCATTTATATAATGTACATTAGTAGTAACTGGCTCAGTGAGTTACACTGTTAATCAGAGTGGCTTACTTGGTGTGCGACCCCTAGTACAGATAGGGATGGCAGATCTTGAGATGATACCATACTCTGCTGCATAAAGCCAGATATTACAGAAGGGGTTGTTAAGCACTGGAATAGGCTCCCCACAGAGGTGGTGGAGACACCATCCCTGGATGTGTTTAAAAACCACTTGGATTTGGTGCTCAGGGACGTGATTTGGCAGAGGGTTGTTAGTTAGGGTAGTCTGGTTAGGTTGTGGTTGGACTTGATGATCATTAAGGTTTTTTCCAACCTGAGCAATTCTATGATTCTATATGTCTGTGTTAGAGAACCCTTAAAAGTGTAAGAAATATCACATGCAGTACAGACCATGATAAAACTTTCAGGTGCTCCTACTGATGCTTTGAAGCGTCAGATGAAGTCAAACCTTAATACAGACTACTTAAATCTTAATGTAACTGCGTTATGTAGTGACATTTCCATTCAAAAACTCTTGGTTACTTTTTTTTTGCTGCACAGATAACGATCTTACAACAATCTCATAACTGATGAAAGAGACTTCTTATAAACATGAAACATTTTCTTTCTCACGTAAGGCTCTTAGTATGGAGGCCTACAGGTTGCATAAGCCTCTGTACTTTTTATTAAGAAAAGAAGAAAAGATGTGGGGTTTCTGCCTTTCAGTAGGATTTCATTTTGGCATAGAAATGGCTCTGACATTGGGAAGAGAGAGTTTAGTTGCTAATGTGCAATTTCCCTACAGAAGATCACCATCTGGATGTTCACTTCAGTGACTTTTTAAAAGCCTGTCTTAAATTACTAGAGCCTGATTACCTGAGTGAAAAATATGCAGAAATCCTGCTGCTCCTAGAGCTAGTCAGAAGTGTTTCTATCAGTCTTTGGTGTTAAGAAAGAAGCTTTTTAAGAAAGAGGTTTGAATCCAATCACAGGTTGCCTTGTTTTTGCTTCTTCTCTTTTCTTCTGCAGATCTTCTGAATAGTTTAAAAGCATTGACCTGAATGCAATGCTTCTTAACACTTAGACATTTGTCTGTCTGTAGCTTTGCCTAGGACTAAGGTAACGTGTGCATGTACTTACACGTGTGTGCACATGGGTTATTTTGCCTGGGAGGCAATAGAGGCAGTAATGGAGGCAGAAAATCTCAAAACCATTGAGTACTCATTTTTTTTGAGATGTGCAAGAATCTCCATCCACGAGGCCACGAGTAGATTTCAGTAGGAGGATTTTATTGCATGTTCTGAACATCAGATTTCTTCAGAGGGGTTGTTAACTTGTCTTTAGCATATGCTATTAAGAGATCTACTGTGCTCTTAAAATTCATGATGCTATTGTCGCCTTTGAGATGAAAATCTTAAGTGACCCCTTCAAATCTCATACTGAAATCCAAAAGACTGAAGTTTATACTTCAGTGTACTATGTGATACCTTGTTGCTAGCATTCTATTCTCACTTTTGCACTTTGAACCGAAAGAACAGAAAACTTTAAAGAAGAACTTTCACATGGGCAATGTTTTACTGAGCTTTCTGTTTTTCCACAGGGATGCACCTGCTTTTAAATTTTATGAAAACAAGTTTGTTGAATACCCCAAATATCACCTCTTAGCGTTCACCTAGAGGTAGCATTTCACCTTCTGTACCGAACAGGAGATAGTGAAGCAGCAGCTACTACTAGTGAAAACTTTTACAAAAAGTTTAAAAAAAAAAAAATCCTGTCTAAACAAGATATCTGTGCTTTGTGCATCTGCCAGAAGGTAAAATCACATCAGGTGAAGAAAGCTGATTAAAGAAGTGATTGTTACTCTTGTCAAGATAGTAGTGCCGCCTTCAGCAGTGAGTAGCACCGAAAGATTTTTTTTTTTTCCCTATGTGGAGATACTTTTGTTAACTGAAAAAAGGTACTGCAAATAGTTTGGCCATTTCCTTAAGAAAAGTTCGGTGAGGAAAGGTTATTGGCACTAATGACAGTAAAATAAAATTATTTTTAAGATAGCATTGGCATCAGTTTTACTTGTACATGTAGGGCTGTACGTTTTCCTTTTCCACAGGCCTATAATGTAAGGAATCACCTCTTGATTTTTTTCCCTAGAGAAAAAAACAAACCATGAAACGAATAGTATTCTGAATCTAAAAAATGTGGTTTATAATATTTAAATTTAATGCTTATTGAAAGTTTTTGATTTTGTATGACACAGTAATACATAACAATCTGATGCTAGATGTCAAGCATGTAAAAAATTGCAGTATTGCATATGGCCTGCATTATGTTGTAATGAAATTTAGAATTATGAATATGTCCAAAAGAGTCTTACCATTGAATTAGTTTGTTCGTTCACCATATGTATTACAGATAATACAGTCCAGCATTAATGTCGTTTTTGCTGGCACCTATTGACTTGACTCCTTGTCCTTTAAAAAGTATTTTAGATGTGTACTGACCTTATCCTCATGCTTTTGGTATTATATACTTCATAAAATAATTCTCTTCTGTTTAGTACTTTATTGACATCGTCTTACCTACGTAATGTGATTGGCTGTAATGAAACATTGGAAACAAATGTCCTGCAAATTGCACATGGATGTTCCCATATTTAGTTGTGTATCCACCATAATCAACCTTTAGGAGTTCTAGAGAAACGGTAATTGGGGCCACACAAGCAGGCTCCTGACAGAGTACTTTTTCAGAAACAGGTTCCAGACTAAGGTGTGTCAGTGTCTTGAGGCCAAGCATAGAGCGCTTCACTTTATGGCACTGTTGCTCAGTTTTACCCAGAAATTGCTTCATATGATCCATTTAGATATATTCTGTAGAGGTTATTAGTCAAACTCAATTACCATCACTGCTAGTCCAAAAAAAAACAAAAAAAACAAAAAACCACCCATCACTAATCCATGTTTTTACAGTCCTTTACCAGGTCAGAAGCTGGCATTAACCTCAAGGAATCCTGTTCCTAGGCATTCAGAATGCAACAGGCACATTTTTAGACTAACAGTGGCATATCTGTAATACTATGTGTTTAATTTTGGTTAAAACAAACTGGATTAAATGAACGCAGCTTTAGACAAAACCTCACTTTTTAGGAAGGTGAATTTGAGGAAAAGAACAATAGATGATGATGGGAGAAAAAGGTTACAGCTGTTTGTTTCGTTTTAGTCCTCTTTAAGTTGAAGACCCTAGCAGATTTGTAAAAGCAATCGTGGTGGTCCTTGATCTTTGGAAGAAATAAAATATCAAAAGCTTCCAGACAAAATAATTGCCTTTCATGTAATGTTTGTTTATTCACTGATTTCCATCAAAATTTGTATATTAAAAGAAACTTGTGCTTTCTCAAATTTCACAAGCACTAATTTGATTAAAACAAAGTGTTTTTCAGAGTTCCTCGGGTCATTTGTAGCAATTTGGTTTATATACTGCTATGCTCAATCTTCGAGTACTGAATATCTGAACTTCTGCTCTTGTGAACATTATCAACACTTCCTCAGCCTCTACGTTCTGTTTTGCTGTGCAGCTTTTGAGTTAGACATGTCAACTTAAGCAGCTTATGAAAAATAACTTTTCTGTAGTTACGTATTGGTATGATGAAAACGTATTTTGAAGAAGACTGGCAAATCACAATGATAATTAAAATATAATAAAGCCAATTTCTTTTGATTAGGAGCAGCAGGTGAAAAGTAATCATTATTGTTTGAAGGTTATTCATTATAAGCTTCAATGCTGTTCTGCATTAGAAAGAAACTTAGTTTGAATTAGTCTATTAAATGTTTCTTTACTTGATGGTTTTCTTCCAAAGGGATCACCCAGGACATCTACTCCATTTGGTACAGCGCATGGCAGAGAGAAAAGAGAGTCTAATGATGTGGAAAACTATTACAGACCTTCAATGCTTGAGGACCCATGGGCTGGCCTAGAGCCAGTTTCTGTTACAGACATAAACCAACAGTACAGCAGTGAGCAAACAACATACACTGGTAAAAAAGGGAGGTATTTCAGCTAACACTTTTAAAGGCCAAATAACTGCATCCTGCCAGGAAAACTTTGGGACAAAATCTTTTTATTTACACAAAATGAACAATAGTAAAGATCGTGGTTAATGCTTTTATTTTATCACATTGACCCTTTTATCCTTTTTTTTTTTTTAATTCCATTGGAAATTTTTATGTATGGGGAGGGGAAAGAAGTGGTAGGATAAGTTACCTTTCTGGCTACGTGGAAGTGCCTACCAGCTTTGAAGAACAGAGTGTTCTTTAATCACCAGCGACTGATTTGTGACTGTTAAAACAGGTTTCCATATATTTATCTCTTCCATGCCAGATTGTTAGCCTTTTATTGTAAACTCCTTTAAATAATGGTATTTTTTTATGTTTCAACATTTTTAGAATGAAGTAACTTGGAAATAAAATGAAAATTTTGTAAATCCTTGTTTTGTAATGTATAAAGATTATTTTAGGACTTCTGTTAAGGGGTACTGATTAACAGAAGTAGCACCACTTATATTAGGTGACTTTGTAAATGTGCTTGTATGCTGTAGTTAACATCTGATCTTGTGCATAGTATTTTTTGTTAACTGTAGTGCAATGTCAAACTGAAACATGACTCCAGCCATCTCAGGAAACAGATGTGTTGTCTTACAAATGTTTAATTTGTTGAACCAGATCTTGAATGCTAAACATTATTCTGTAATGTTTACTTCTGTATTTCGGAGAAAAAAAAAAAAAAAAAAAAAGCATTTGAAAGAAGATTACATGTTTCTGGATTATAACCAAGTCTGTGGCAATTTTAGACTAATCAACACAAAATATGAGAATTAATTAAATGCAAATGTACTTTCTGGATTTACCTTTAGATTAGCATAGAATGAATGGAACTTTGTTGTACAGTTGACATTAGTACATTAATAGCATCTTATTTTTGATCTCTTCTGGGTTTTTTAATTTTTACCTACAGCTGGCATCTTAGTCTAGAGAATTCTTGTTTTCAGTGTGTGCATGCTATATTTTTATCTTGAAGAAGAAAACAAGGGTTTTTTTGTTTTGTTTTGTTTTGTTTTTTTGGTCTTGTCTGAATATGGATGATCCATTCTTAAATTCACTAGTGAATATTGTAATTTAGAGCAAGTAAGAAATAGTTCCAGCTGTAGGCATGGCTCTTAACATGCCATGTTAAGCGTGCAGTGGATATCTTAAAGTGTTGTTTGACCCTACTGTTATTTGTTGATCTTTGCTTTTAGGCGATACATGGAAGATGAAAACTTAGTTAAATAAGAAACACTACTTCAGTTTTCAAAACGTATTTTTGCATATCTTTTAAGCTTACGTATTTCAGAGGAGACTAGAAAGTATTTTTGTAATCCTGAAGCATGATTTTGTGGAATAGCTCAGGAATTGCATTATATTGTTCTGAGTATCTGTTTTGCTGAGGTACAATAGTCCTGTAGTACCACTTGGACTGTTTCATTATAAAGTATCTCGGCTTAATACCACCTTCAGGAACAACTTAAAACTGGAAGGGGGAGTGTGTGTGGGTAGGTAACTTGCTGATACATGCTGAGTCTTAAACTTCTATGACTGTAACCTAAAGTTTTTCACTTGTTTTTCTTCAATTAGCATTTTTGTTTGCTTCAGTACTATATTCAAAAGGCTGCTCAGAGAACTGAGAATATAATGCCTGCTTGATATCACGAGTTCTTAAATCATCATCCCAGAATCAAAACTGTCATTTCTATGGTAGCTGTCAGTATTGGTACCTGTAACACGTACCAGCAGAACTGAAATTACTTGATTACTTGTAGATACTCTTCAGAATTTAAAAATCAGTTATGTCATTTTGAAAGGTGGAGTATAAAGTTTTCTTTCTTTTTTACCTTCACAGGTTCTGTAAAGCTCACAAAGTTAGAGTGATTAACCGAGTCATTTTTTTGTTACTTTTCTCCTTTGTAATTCAGTGCATTTTTTTGTAATGTGTTTGATGATCTTGTGAAAGTAGATCTGATAGTACCTGATGTTTTTAAGAGACTAAAGCTATGACGTGTTCCCAGTGAGACATGAGAAGAAACTGAGTTTGGAAAGAGAAAGGAAAGGAAAAGGATTCATGACAGAAGAGAGACCGTTAGAGATGGAACTCTTTTTACAGTAACCAATATCAGCTGCCCTTGCACACTGCAAAGATGCATTTTTCTACTTTGGCTTTCCAGTTGACCAAGGGATCAAAGCCAGTCACCTCTGGTAATAACTCTTTGCTGCTGGAACAGGGTGTCAGACATCAGTGAAGGTAGATGTTCCAGAAAGTGAATTCAGGAAATAATCTTGAAGCACTGTTTAATCAGTACAGGCTTTCCACAATACCATCTTTTAAGCTGCTGCACCTATGCACTTCAGGATATGACCCACGAATTAGAAGTACATCACACTGCTAAAGACTCTTATAATTTGGTCAACAATCTGCAAGGAATTTAGATGCAATAAGAATACTAAACTCATCACACCATACCAAAATATTTAAACTGATTCAACTTTCTGGTTTGTAGGAGACATTCTGAAATTACAGTAAAATTTCAAAATGTTGTTGGATAGCTGTAAAATGCATGAACACGTGCTTAGAACCATAAATATAAAAATTAAATATTAAAGCCAGTTTAAACTTTGCCTTTTTTTTTTTTTCCTATGATATCCAAGAAGCTTGAGCACTTAACTTCCTCACTGATTTTTGTTCCTTTTCCCATATGGCAAACATTCTTTCTCCCACATGTTTTTAATAAAGATAGGATATACCACTTCCTCATTTGTTTATGAAGCCTCTTCATAGCAACAGTATGGTTCTGGAAGTAGTATTTGATGATAAGAAAAAAAAAAATTCATCTGAAATGCATCCTTACTTCAGGAGCCCATGAAACAGAACAATTTCTGTGTCTTGCTAATGAAGGTATTCTTCTGTAATGAGCACTTAAGAATTTGAGTGTTACGTTTTCCTCAGCAGACTTTAAGGTAAGTCATTTAACTCTTCAGAAGTTTGGCTTAATACACATTCTGTCCATTCAGTTTTGTTTGCATTCTTTGTCCATTAAGACTTATTTTCCATTCAGTCATTATAGAAGGAATTGCATAACTCACTACTCTTTTCTAGCAAAAAAAAAAAAAAAAAACACAATAAAATCTGTAATTCTATTTGCTAGCCACTGTGTTCAATGATGAGCTGCATATGACGGTAAGATTACTGAATTAGTTTGAGTATGGTTCTGGGTGACATGGTAACACAGCAGGTGTGGAGTGATCCCAAATTATGTACCACAATACTTAAAGGTGGTTCAGGTTTGAGTTTTCACTGCAGCTTTATGATACAGAATAGTAACTTTTTTCTGGCACTGCAGATGCACTATTTTACATTGAAATTGTAAAACAGGCTATTTAGGGTGTTACATTTCAATTAAAATGGGGTTTTAAAGTTTGTATCAAACTTTTTTTTTTTTTTAAACTAGCATTAAGATATTGAGGTGTACCATTTTTTTTAGTGTAAAAACTGGAAACATTGTGGAGGAAATGCTTCTGATCAGCAGAATCAGTAACAGGCTGTTTTCCTTTTGAGGGTATCTTTATATGCTCTTCAGTTTGTGTGTTCATTAGACATCTGGCAGAATAAGCATACATTTTATGTAGAGTCTACAAGCATCTATTCTCCAGCTCTCCCCTAAAGAAAAGTTTTTATAGACTGTTTGGCTTTGGAGTTATATTTATGAGTAGTCTCATTGACATCATAGGCTTTACTCGTGCACCCAAGATTCATAAACATCTAACAAACATTAAAGTTTGAAAATTATCAACCATTGGTCTTTCATTGCTCTTTATGAACTTTGCAGTGAGCTACTGTGTCTTGCACTTGCTCTGAAATCCCTGTCATACGTGTGCTTTTTATATATGAGCCAAGCCTGTCATACAGGGAAAACTTTTTTTTAAACTACATTTTCCTGAATTCTTAAGAGTAAACATTGTGTTCTCCTTTCCCCAAATTTTTCTTCTTTCTGACATGCTTATATTAGTTAAATGAAGGATTGTGTCCACTGATTGCTGAAGAATCACGTAATGATTTCCATGTCCCAATCCCTCAGAAGCTTGTGTGACATCTGACGTGGGTAATATAATTTCAGATGGCTCAACTACTTCTCATATTAAAAGGAGGAAAATTAAAGGTGTGTTAAGAGTATGTTAAGAGTAGTATAGTTCATAGAATCACAGAATGGCCTGGGTTGAAAAGGAGCACACTGCTCATCCAGTTCCAACCCCCTGCTATGTGCAGGTCACCAACCAGCAGCCCAGGCTGCCCAGAGCCACATCCAGCCTGGCCTTGAATGCCTGCAGGGATGGGGCATCCACAGCCTCCTTGGGCAACCTGAGAACAGTGCCTCACCACCTCTGGGTGAAAAACTTCCTCCTAACATCCAACCTAAACCTCCCCTCTCTCACTTTAAAACCATTCCCCCTTGTCCTGTCACTATCCACCCTCACAAACAGCCATTCCCCCTCCTGTTTATATGCTCCCTTCAAATATTGGAAGG